GAGAACTGTCACTGGGCCGCTCGCATTGTTCTGCTTATCCTGGCGAGCCTGGCTGTCCTGTCCCACCCACCAAACCGTCAGTCGGGTCGGCCAAACCTAACACACCGATCGCATCATGTTGAATCATCTTTCGTCAAAAATAACTAAGCAAGCTCCAGAAGAATCATATCTCCAGGTTTCTCATTTGTTCTAGCGCGTTTTGTCCACGAATTGATTGATCGCGTCCTCGAAATGCGCACTGCCAAAATCAAACACATTTGCTGACAGCGGCCGATCGTCCGCATTTACAATGCACCGCGATTCTAGACTCAATGTCTCCCAACACCGCGGGTCAGTGTTCAACAGGGTTACCTAGGTACCTTCCACTTGCGACTAACCTTATTTCCGAGCCTCATCGGTGTCCAGGTGCCCCAATCCGTTGTTATGACTCCCCACCGCTCCAACTCTCGTCCATCTCAATCCCATTCATCCCATGGGAGAATGGCTGACAACAAGATACGAGGTACCAGATACCAGGTACGTACAGCCCCTTCTTCCCATAACCCGTCCCGCTTCGCCCGTCGCCGCTAACACCGAACGAATTGAATGGGACCCGAACTGAATGAGGCCAGAATGGCTGGATGGCTGGCTGGCTGGCTGGCTGTGAACCAGTGGACCTCCACAGTCCAAAGTCCAACGCTTGAGCTTTAGCTTTATGTACACTAGACTACCTCCTAACACCGAATCCTCCCTCCCTTAGGGCTCTTGGGGGCCAGACTCAGCTAGGGCGAGACAGGATCAGCCAAGGCGGGGGAAGCTGGGATCATAAGCCTAGTGGCCGCTAACACCGAACGTAGGTAGGTATCTTTCGCGAATCCCGTCCCGAAGCCAATCGATGATTGCCTGTAACCTGGACCGTAAGAACTAGGTACCTAATCAAAGGGACTTTTAGGTCCGCTCCATTTCGCAATCCATCCCGCTGGCTCAATCATTAGCCTCCACAATGATAGGTTAATGTTAGTCTCACAATCAGTGTACAGAACCTCTCTCGCCCGAAATAAACAGTGCCAGTGCAACTACCTACAGTACACTAACAACCGTCCGCGGAGATAACAGGGGGTCCGTTGTAAGCTCCATTATCTCCACCCGCTAAGCTTTTAGTGCTTCGTTCCCATCTTTCTTGGCAAGCTTTAATCCAACCGCTTCTCCTTCTTTCGACCTTCAAGCTAGCCTCAAATCGGGTGGCTTTATCGTCCATCCAATACCAAAGCACCCAAGAACAACGCCTGATGTAAAGTTGGCTGACATTCTGACAGATACGTGCTGCAAAGCCCTACGCCCACATCACATGGCACAAAGACTAGCAAATGCAGAAGCAGAGGCCGTGCGACATTGTGTCAAACCAACGGCTTGCTCACATGGAGAAACTGACTGGCAGCAAAGAAACAACGATTGCAAGATTTGTATTTTCTTGACCATTTTACCCATCAATCTCACCATATGATGCTGGACATCGAGAGGACCAGAATACTTGTATAACTTACACCCGCCATTAGAACAAAGGAAGCATGCGCACTCTCCAAGCATTCTGAGAAACAACACAACCATGACTCCAGTCGTAACCCGACATTGACAATGCTAGTGATGAGTTTGATATGTGAAAGAGAAGATAAGAAAATGAAGAAGAGAAAACTAACAAACTTCTCAACGACCAGTATGATAACTCCAACAATCACCGCAGTGATCGAACTAAGGCTACTACTCCTCATGGACCAAATTGTTGAAGACTCTCCTGAAGTGTCAAAGCTCAAGCATGTTTTGCTCCAACCCGTATTCCTTAGCATAGTCCCTAACTCTCATTTGAGGGCTCGCTCGGCGTGGCTCGTCCTCTTCATCAATAGCCTTGGTAGAAGCCGGCGTAAAGTTTCGAGTCCGCTTGACATTTCCGTTTCCATTTCCTACAGCAGTACCACTTCCATTGCCATTTCCATGGCCCTGTACGCTTCCAAGGCCAGCGTTGAGCGAGCTCTCGGTCCGAACGCCAAAGGGGGTCGGACCAGAAGGAGGGTTGGAGCTAGGATTCGTGGAGTGGTTGGAATTCGAATTTGAAGTCAGGTTGGATGAGAAGTTGGAAGTAAGGTTGGAAGGAAGGCTAGGAGGAAAGCCGGCAGGGTTGGGACCTGAAGCATGACCACCATACAGGTTGGAATTGGACACAAACTCGGCCTGTTTCGGACTATCCTGATGGCTGCCTGCGACCGAGAACATGCTTTGCAAACTTGGGGAGTTGCTCGAGCTTCCGGCGCCATCCATGGAGGAAACCATCTGGGACAAGTTGGATGCGATGGGACACTGGGAGAAAACCGGCTGTGAGAAATTGCGTATGTCGCCATGGTCTGCATTAGGGGTTGAGTGAGCTGATGAAAGGTTGGAACCAGAGATGGTGAGGAAGCGGTTCTCCTTACGTGACTTGACATCCGAAGACGGTAGGGGTATCTGATGAGGCTGAAGTGGAAGCGGCATCGGCTGGTTCAAGAGAGTATTGGTGAAGCAGGCGGCCATGTCAGACGGGATGGACGGCATATGGGTAGACATGGAAGGAAAATGGACCCCCGCTGTCATGTCTTCAGCAGGAGGAGGGACTGTTGTCGAAGTATTCGTTGGCACCTTCATGTTCGTAGGATGCTCATCATCCATACTATTTCCGGAAACATGCATAGCCTCAGGCTCGTCGCGGTTGGGACCCCCACCGTAGTCGGGCATGGTTTCATCACTACTCTGCTGCTGGATCCCCTGTCGCATACCAGATTGCCAGGAGCTGTGACCCATTGAGCCCATCCAGTCCATGTAGGAGGGTTCGGTGAATGGATCGGAATGCGGAAACGACGAGCCAGACCCAGTGTTGGAGCCTCGGGGTGCGTATGGCATCTGGAGTGTTTGTGTACCCACGTAGCTAGCGGGAGGCAGGTGAGGCTGAAATACGCCATGTGTCATAATAGGCGTTGGGAAACCTGGACTTTGACTGTTCTTCTTTGGTCGCTGGGGCGAGTGTGCGTGAGAGTTGATGCCATCGTCGGGGTGATATGTTGGTACGGGAACGTTCGAGAGGTAGGTCGGAGTGCGCCACATGGATGGGTTGGGCCAGGCAATGGAGTTGTTTTCAAGCAGTTCTGAACACGTAGATCGCAACGTCAGTTGTTGGTGGCGGACGAGAGAAGTGTTGCAAAGTCTTACCTAGCGGAGCATGTTGGAAAGAAAAGGCGACAATATTCTTGACCCGCTCAAAGGGAACCGTTCGGGAATCGCGTGGAAAGCCTTCGCTGATAAGAACTTTGATGCGGCCAAGGTCGTCGCCAGGACTCCAGTGGCTCTCATAAAGAAGCTCACGGCGAAAGATAGGAAACTTTAGGCGTTCGCGTTCGCCCGTCTTTGTGTACTCTTGATACTTGTCAGCACGTCATGATACTTGATTATATTTCAGAGGATTTTGGCGACTTACCAAAGGTGTCTGCAATCAAATGGGGTCCGTTGACTTTTCGATCAAAGGCAGTGGAAGCAACCAAGCGGCCATCGATGAAGATGCGCGCCTCAAACTTGACAAACTCGGTATGCCTGCTGTATGTCTTTGTAAACAGGCTGATATCGGGGGCTTTCCAGGCGTGCATCGAGATCTGAAACGGACTGCCGGCTGGAAGACTCGGGATGAAGCAGGTCATGACGGGCAAGCCAGCCTGTCCGTGCATGTGAGCGAGCTCCTGGTCTGGGACTACATGGCACTGGACTTTGAACTCCTTGATTGGAATCTTGCCGTCCCTGCCTGTAGGGAACAGGATGACGTCCCAGTCGTCGTAACGCATTGTATGGTATGCCGTCGCAACCCAGCCGATGGTGAGATGGAGAGGAAAAATTGAATGTAGAATCGATTAGTGAGTGTATCGATGTTGCTCGGGGCACGGGCTGGCAAGATATAATGCAACAAGTGAGCAAAGCAGGGAAGCCAAAAGAAGGCAAAACACAACAACAAAAAGTGACGATGGTTGGCGACGAAGTTGGAGCCGAGGATTGCCGTGTGGACAGAGTGGATGATGATGAAAGTTCTCCTCTTCCCCTCCTCCTGCTTCAAGTTGTATTGACCGCTCCCGCTCAAGTACCTACCCGCATATCACCAGGCCGAAAGGCCCACCACAATCTCGGGAGCGATAGTTGGATCCATTTTGGGCTAGTTTTGCGGTTGCTCTTTCCGTGTTTGTGTAAATAACGTCAGACTAGATCTTGACTCTCGGGATGATGAGAATGTACAAATGGCCGGCATCGAAATTTCCATTGACATGATGGGGGGGTTTTGGGGAAGGATATCTCGCAATTCGAGCGTCTGTCATTGCCACGATCCAGATTCGTCCTTGACACTTGGTGGCCATAATGATGGTGAAATCTTCTTGTTCGGTTGTTAGTTGGAGGCCATTGCTTCGGTTACTAGAGGTTGAGCACGATAGGCAAGGGGCTATCGTGAGCGAGAGTTGCCATATGATTGATGCCTACAAGTACTGAGTGAGGGTTAGTTCGGTCCCGAGTCAATGATCCACTTGCGACTTGCACCCGACCCGACAGCAAATGTGGAGTCATTACCCCAGATGGACTTGCACGAGTCATAAAAATGCAGCAACATGCTTCTGTGGAGTTCTCTGCTCGAGATTGTTCCTGCTGGTGCTTTATGGTCAGTTTCCAATGCAAATGGAAGGGCTGGGTTAGTCTATAATTCCATCAAAATGACAGGTTTTCTGGCCTCGAGGGCAAGCAGAACTCGAACATCCTAAACTGAGTGGGTACCCTCCAACATAAGACGAATCAACAGAAATTGGAGGTAGTTGGACCGTGGGATGATTAATGACTGCTTCCCATGACTCAACTCGTATCACTTCCCCGGGTACCGTTCACCCCGTATGGAAGTAGGAGCAGCTACCTCTACCTATGTACACGGCGCATGCTCTGTTCTGTATTTGTTCCCTCGTGTCTGTACTTGATCAAGGGTCAGGATCACCCGCCTGTCTCGCCTGTCAAGTCCAAGGTCAATAGTCAGCACTGTCAGGCCCGGTTCCATGTCTGATCCACATTATGGAGAGGACCTCGAAGCCGTCTCCATCTTTCGGCCTGGGGAAGCTCCACTTACCCTAACAGCTCCCGAACCGCCCAGTTCCTGCAACAAACCGTCCTCGAACTCACGAGGATACGAGACCTTGTCGGGATACGTGAGCTTGACGCCGTAGCAGAGACCGAGGAAGGCAACGATGAAGGCGCCAATCTGGGCAAGACCCTTGCCGGGAGAGACCCAAGTGTATTCGTATGGCGAAAACATGCCCAGGAGATCGTGGTCTTCGTGCACGGGCTCGCCAAAGTTGCGACGCTCCTGAGGGTCCCACCACTTGGCGTAGGGATCGCGAAACTGGCGCTTGATGCGCGGGGGGTTGATGTAGCCGCCGTTCTGCGCACAACCAGTCCGTCAGCTACCGTGTGCTTCCTCTGTCTCGTTTGACAGCCTCCTTATTCCACTGCCTGCCTATTGTCATACCATTTCGGGGTCCTCAGCATCGGTGAGTTGAGGATAATCGGAGTCGGGATACTTTTCTTCCATGAGGCCGCCCCGGCCGGTAAGCTGGTCGGGCAAAAAGGTACGGCGCTGCTGGACAATGGGGGATCGGTTCGCGGCGAGCGCAACGAGACGGGCGGGCGAGGCCCGTACAATTCGGCGGGACAGCATCTGGGTCGGTTTAGTCAGTCGTCAGTCAGTGTTGTTTCGAATTGGGTGCTATCAATCGGCGCATGGGTACCTACCATGGCTTATGAGGGCCGCAATGCAGTCGTGATGCCGAGTTCGAATTGATTCAGTTTGCGATTTGGGATCTTGACGTTGACGACACTGACCAGACACCATGGAATGCAGGCGCAAGTCGTCGGCCGGCCTGCTCAGTGCAAGATGGTCTGTGCACAGAGCTTGTGGAGCTGCTGATTGGCTTACCTAGTTGCAAGGATGGGCCAACCTAAGAAGAAGGGAAGGAGAAGATGACCCGAGGAATGGCTGGCCGCCCCGCATCGATCAGAAGTCTCTTGAGGGTTTTAGTTGCACTAACAATTTCACACAGTCTCGCCCAGCCCAGTGAGCTCCCTCGCTCCCCTTCCCGTCCCGTCCGTCGTGCCCACTCCCGTCTCCCACTGAGCCACTCTCAAGCGCGTTGTGCACAGACCACCAAATGGCTCCTGCACCATGTGGATGGAAACACGGCGGCAGCATCACTATTCGCCATCCACTCAGCCAGGCAGCTCCTCAGAGGCGGCGGGCACTGTGACCTGACGGGCCATCAGGCTGGCCGGCTGTGGTGGTGTCCCGCTCAGTGCCGGTGCCGTTGATGCATTTTTTTTCGTCGGTTGGCAACTTTTTGCGATTTGCGGGAAACAGCTCTTTTCTCGACATTTCCCCGCTGCAGCCAACCCTTCCCGTAGCCTGATCACGGCCAAACCCGGGCATGAGATAGTTCCAAGTCGTGCGGTTTCTCTGACGTTGTTTTGGTCCCCTCAAATGCCCGCTTCGTCGAGATATCCGCCCCCATATCCCCTCGATAGGCGTGGCTGCTGTGACAGTGACCATGACTACTATGATGACCGACTCTGGCACCGCGTCTGATTCTGGTGCGGGACTTGTTGATTCAACACGAAACGACACCACCACCACCACCACCACCACGTCCGCCACCACCACCACTCCCGGTGACAACGACGCCGACGACAACAACAACAACACCAACGGTACTACTGGTCATCACGACAACAACGAGACAGACAACAAAAGTTACAGCAGCACCCACCATGTCCCCGCCATCGATAATACCTCGACGACGACCAACGCCAACGCCAACGCCCAAGATGCTGGCTTCCTCGACCGCGACCAGTCGCCCTTGTCGTCCATCTCGTCCCCGCTGAGCGAACCCGACAACTTTGAGTTTGATACCGAACCGATGTCATCCATTCTATCACCAAAGTCTACGACAAGCGATACTCATGCCCGCGACGGAGAGACGCCCGAGCTCGACGAAGATGGACAACCACCGGCCAAGCGACGCCGAGTGCGCGAGACAACACCTCACAATCACTCGCGCAAACCGAAACCAGAGTCACCACCATGGAAGAAGTTCGAGGCCGAGGGGCCGACTACCATCATCACCGAAGACGGTCGTCGCAAGTCTGGCCGCGTCAATCCCGTCTTGCTAGGCATGAAGCCCAGCGACAAAAAGGTTACGCGCAAAGCTATCCAAACAAGTCCTGTCAGCAATAAAAGTAGTGCCAGTACGTCCAGGAAGCCAGCGCCAGCAAGCAGTAGCAGCAGCAAACATGCTCCCGCAAAGATGCCGCCTCCGCCGCCGCCGAAAGCTCCCGCGCGCAAGTCTGCCACGACTCATGATACCAGACCCTCCGCGTCCCGATCCCGTCGACGATCTCCATCTCCCCGACGTCCTGCTACACCTCCGAAACCTGCCGCGGTCGGTACGCGTCGGTCAACGCGCCAAGCCCTCGCCCATTCTCGAGCATCCTACGATGATGGCCAACTCTCTCCCGGTGCCTCGCGCGCCACTCCCCGTATCAAGCTCAAAGTTCGACCCCCGTTGACCGTAATACCCCTGGTTCATCCAAACCAAGCCAATGTTCGTCCGAAGCTTGGGCCGACCTTTGAGGAGTACTTTGCGCGCGCTCAAGAAATACCGGTGGAGGAGGGTGGGCAACACATCCCCGATGAAGAGCCCAAATACACAGACGAGATGGCCCTCCAGGACGCCAAGGTCATTCTACGGGTTGAAAAAGAGGTGGAGCCAGGGGGCTTGCTCGCCCCTGACAGGTGTTCGGCTTTCGAGCCTGAGGCCGAAGAGGAACCGCCTCGACAGTGGGCTCATCTCGACCACCTCACAAAGGCCATGACCAACTTTCGCAAGTTGATGTATAGAGAGCAGCAGTTGCATATGCAGGCAGCCAAGCGCATCGCCATTGCATGCGAAGCCGAGTGGAGACGCCGAAACCCACAGCCCAAAACTGCCCAAGAAATCGAGCTGGAGGAGATGGAAGCGTCCAAGGCCAAATGGCGCCAGGTTATCAGGGCCTTTGCTGGGACATGGGAGAATGTCAGAGTCGAGGTCAACAGGCGTCGCTTGGTGGAATGGGAGGCGGAGGAACAGCGCCGTGTCAAGGCCGCGCTGAATCAAGCAGTCAATCTTTCGGAACAAAAGCTACAGCAACGACAAGCGCAAGTGGACGGGGACGAAATTACAGACGAGGACGAGGACGAGGACGACGATGACCTGGAAAGTGGCATGCCGTCAGTAATGGGCGACGAGGAGGAAAGTGACGAGCACTCCGACCAAGGATCCAACGAGATGTCTGACGAAAATGACCAAGATGAAGACGAGGATAACATGTCCTCCTCCTCTGAGGACGACGATAAGAAATCGACCGCGTCGGACGAGGGCCTGACTCAGGAAGAATTACGTGCAAAATACGCCAACCTACCCACCTTGGACACGACCGATGGAAATAAAGAAACAACAAAAGACGTGGAGATGGCTGATGCTTCCGCTGCTATGGATGGCAGCGTTGCAAATGGTGACGATACAAGCGATGAGTCGGTAGACATGGACGACGACCTTGGATCTAGCGAGGAGTCAGACGACGACGACGACGAGGACGAAGACGATGAGGAAGAGGAAGAGTCCGATGATGAACCTGCTGGCTTGCTAGGGCTATTCTTTGGAAAGTCAGAGTTGAAGAAGTTGAAGGAGGAGGCTGTAACTGAGGAGCCGTCGGTTGAATCCGCTGGGGATGTGGAGATGACCGATGCTCCGGCGGCCCTTCGTCCCGAGCCCCAAGTTGATGGCCATGCGCATGAGGCTCCGATAACTAATGGTTCCCACACTAATGAGCAGCTGGCATCATCTCAAACTGAGGGTGCAGACGATGAAGTGTCGTTACTGATTATACCCAACGACGAAAAAGCAGCAGAAAATACTCAGACCACAAAAGAGCCTGGCAGCGGAGTGGCAAATAAGGACTTCCTCACCAATGGTAGTTCCTTGAAGCATCATGAAGAGATTGTACAGTCCGAAAACCAGGCACTTCCGGCTAAGGAGTCGGTTGAAGCTGGGGGCGACCTGCCAATGGTTGATGCCCCACCCACAGACGATTTACAAAGGGAAACAGCCGCGGCGCCGTCGTTGGAGCCCCCACCCAACACCCGACATGATAGTCAGGAAACAGTGGCGGCTACTGACATGCAGAGCCAGTCACAAACACAGTCACCAAAAACAACTGATACCAAGCCCACCGATGTCGACACTCCCCACTCAGAGCTGGCCGTCAGCGTGCAAAAGCCAGATAGCCGACAATCCTCACCTCAGCCAACAACCCCAACAGTCAAGACAGAAATCCCGTTTCTCCTGCGTGGAACACTGCGTGAGTATCAGCATCATGGTCTGGACTGGCTTGCTGGGCTGTATGCCAACAACACCAATGGTATCCTGGCCGATGAGATGGGTTTAGGAAAGACCATCCAGACCATTGCTCTGCTGGCGCACCTCGCCTGTCATCATGAAGTTTGGGGTCCCCATCTGGTTATTGTGCCTACGAGTGTAATGCTCAACTGGGAAATGGAGTTCAAGAAGTGGTGTCCTGGATTCAAGATCCTTACGTACTACGGCAACCAGGAAGAACGCAAGCGAAAGCGCCAGGGATGGAACAACGACGATGTTTGGAACGTCTGCATCACCTCCTATCAAATGGTCCTTCAGGATCAGCAGGTGTTCAGGCGAAGACGCTGGCATTACATGATCCTCGACGAGGCTCACAACATCAAGAATTTCAAGTCGCAGCGCTGGCAAACCCTGCTCGGCTTCAACACGCAAGCTCGGTTGCTCTTGACAGGTACTCCGTTGCAGAATAATCTGACCGAGTTGTGGTCGCTTCTCTACTTCTTGGCGCCACCCGAGAACGGCGAAGGCGGGTTCGTTGACCTCACCGAATTCCATAACTGGTTCGCTAGGCCCGAATCTCAGATCTTGGAAAGCGGCCGTGAACAGCTGGACGATGAGGCGCGTGCCATCATTGCCAAGCTGCACAAGGTCCTTAGACCCTACCTTCTCCGTCGACTCAAGGCAGATGTCGAGAAACAGATGCCGGCAAAGTATGAACACGTCGAGTTCTGCCGCCTCTCCAAACGTCAGCGAGAGTTGTATGATGGGTTCCTTTCCCGCGCCGATACACGCGAGACGCTGCAATCGGGCAACTACATGTCCATCATTAACTGTTTGATGCAGCTCCGAAAGGTCTGCAACCATCCCGATCTCTTCGTGGACCGGCCCATTATGACCTCGTTCCGCATGTCGCGGTCAGTCCCGGCCGACTACGAGTGGAAAGAAAAGTTCATTCGGAACAGGCTGTTGGTTACGAAGCCCATGACCACTGTCAATTTGAGCTTCCTCAACATGATTCCAACCGAGTATGAAGATCTGTCCAAGACACACACCGACCGCATCGCCCAGCTCAGCTCCCATCGTATCTTGCTCGACCTGAGGGAGGCCCAGAAGGTGCGCGCCAACAACGCCTACACCGCGCTGGACCCTTCCTCTGTCAAGTCCAACCTTGTATATCTTGAAAGTGCCGCCAGATGGGGTCGGTTCGAAGAGCTGCAACACTGTGTCTACATCAATGCCCTCCGTCGCCAACAACGACCCATCTATGGAAAGCGTCTAACCGAGTTCCTCACCCTTGACACCCATCTACGACCATACAAACCCCGACCC